TGAAGTTCGTGGTTCTTGACTGTGATTTGTGTTCCTGGATTTTTATTTATTTGTTATTATTACAAATATTTTTTGTGTGTGAGTCTGGGTGTGTGTCTGTGTGTTTGTCTGTGTAGCTAAATAAAAATTATAAACCATAAAAGAAAGCTGCAGTATACATAAATCATATTTCCTAAAGGTTGTTAAAAACAGTGTCTCATATCATGCAATACTGTGGTTTAATGGTGATTTTTTAGTTATGAACATTTATGTACTAGCTGCTTATAAGGGCAAGAAACTACTCTCTCTTTAAGGTAAAAAGAAGCCAAGAAAGGGTAGAAGAGAACAGGTAGTTGACAAAAAACCTGCCACTTTCTCCTATTTCTTCATTATCTTATTTCATTATTACTATTAGTTGTAGTAGTAGTAGTAGTATGCTTTTATTATAATTGTTATTACTATGCTTTATTGATTTGTTTTTACCTTTTTATTATTATTATTATTATCCTTTTATTATTATCATCATCCTTTTATTATTATTATCTTATTATTATTATTATCCTTTTATTATTATTATCATCATCATCATTATTATTATTATTATTATTATTATTATTATTATTATTATTATTATTATTACTATTATTCTCCTTTAAGGCAAATCTGTTTTGGAAATTTCAAAGTTTTCTCAATCTTCCACATTGCATTGGTTTTCCTTTGTCCAGATGTAGATTTTGAAAGCATAAACTGATATATTAACGTTCGGGATAATCAGTCACTCCCTTTTCCCCGTTTATTTCAGAAAAATAATGACATAATCCAGAACACCTGGCTGAAATTTTCCACCATGGCGAGCCCCACGATCGAATCTCTATGTTGTTTATCAAGCTCGAATGCCTTCAGTAAAGACTTTCTCGTAGACTTCCAGAGTGTGCCTTACAATGCCATATCCATTCTGGCATCCCTTTTTGGCATGGCTGGTGCCATATACCAGGTAAAAGATCAAATTTCCAAAGTCTGTTCATGCATGTTAATATGTTCCATGTTCATACCTGTTTTATAATCTTGTAATTTATTCATATACAGATTAATAGTAATTCCTATAAGTACTAATAATGTCTTATTATTTACTGTTTCTTCCTAGGTCAACACAGTAAATAATCTGATGGAATGCAGTTTACCTTAAAAACTAATTTCTCATTCACAGATCTTATTACAGTATGCAAATTGATTGAATACTTCTATTCTGTTAATCTACACTAAATAATAATAAGTAATTTATCATTAATGCTGGCTAATTATCCTTTACAGTCTTTCTTCAAAATAACTCGAAACTTCAAAATTTCTCTTCCTCCTTCTTTTTATTCTCCCCCTACTTGATTTCTATTTTGTCCTTTGCAGATTCTTCCCCGAACACCTGGTTATGGCTCCACAGGTCGAGGGGGAAGTTTATTCAAGACGAGGGGGCGCCTTATCATAAAATGGCTAGCCTTTGCTGACCTTCTGGCCGCATTCGGTGAGGGAAAAGGGGATGTTTGTATGGAGTGTCTTTTGGAAACAGAGAAATGTGTTTTATTAATTTTTTTTGTGGTTTCTTTCATCTTTTTTATTATTTCTTTACCATCTAAAGAGGTAAATGTTTATCAATTTGGAATTGATATATTCATGTCTTGATGTTATTTATATTTGGAGTTAGTTCTTTCCCTTATTATTTTTTGTGAATTTTATTGATTTTGTGTTTTGCAGTGGACAGATATTGATTGTTATTGTTTTTTATCATGTTTTTCTTCTTCTGTTCCTATTTACTTTTTTCTGTATATCTTTTTAATTCCTCTCTGGATTTTTTCCCCTTGTTCTAAGAATTTTCTATTTATTCTTCATTTTGTTTTTTATTTTGATGTATTTGTAGGGATTCTTATAAGATCAGCTTCCTGGCTTGCCCATGACACCTTTGGATCAAAGGCAGATGACAGCAAACAAGGGCATTCTTTGTGCATCACAACATCGGTAAGAGTTTTTCCTAGAATAACATATTTCATGAAGGTTTTCTTATCTTTTCTTTCCTCTTTCTTTTTCTTCTTCTTTTCTTCCTCCTCCTTTTTCTTCTTCTTTTCTTCCTCCTCCTTTTTCTTATCTTTCTCATCCTTCTTCTTCTTCTGTTTCTTCTTCTTCTATTTCTTCTTCATCATCACCACCACCACCACCACCACCACCACCTCCTCCTCCTCCTCCTCCTCCTCCTCCTCCTCCTCCTCCTCCTCCTCCTCCTCCTCCTCCTCCTCTTCCTCCTCCTCCGCCTCCTTCTGCTTCTCTTTCAGCCCAATGATATATGTACATTCAGCGTGCTTGCTTGCAGAAGCCGTACAAAGAGCAACCCAATCCAATTGTCCTGATCCAGCAAAGCACACTAAGTACTGTAAATAATCACCTAAAAAAAAATTAGGAAATGCAAAAGATCAAAATATCTTTCTCTTTTTTCTTGGGTTTTCTTCCTTTTCTTCTTTTAGTGTTATTGTTTCTTTTTTTTCTTTTCAAACATTAACTAAGTTAGTTTATAGATTATTAAGTGGCGGTTTTGAAATGCAAATTTTTGTGATTGTTGATTACTTATAGATAGCTCTGATTTCTTTCTGTGTAAGTATAAATTTTGTCAACCATATCTGCAACATATGCATTATTTCATGAAGTCTGTAGCCTAAATTGTGACATGAACTATTTGAGTATGAGAATTCTGATAATAAGCCATTAGCTCTGCTTTCATTGTTTTATGTTTACTTGTCTATATATATGTGTGTATATATATATATAATGTGTGTATATAAATGTATGATGTATATACATACATACATTCATATATGTATGTATAGTATGTGATAAGAAAAATATGACTTTGGTCTGCACAGTTTTCATATGCTTCTTAAATGAAGGGTCCAAATCAGAATTATCTTTTTTTTCCTATAGTATTTGAGAAATTCACATAAATCAACAGTAGATGTACCATAACTTCATCCAGTCAACAAAGACGTACCATAATGGTAACTAGTAGATCCTAGTTGCATCTAATCCAATTCACATAAACCAGACCCACAGTGAAAAAAAGGAATACAGCAGATCTTACTAAACCACAAATTTTACCACACTGATTTTTGTACTTTCTAGACTCCAATAGAGCCCTCCATTGCAAAAAAAAAGTAAACTCATGTCATGTTGAAAACTAACAAAGGTTTATTTTCCTGAACAGGTTATTATCCACTATTTCTACACTGCAACTTACTGCTGGACTTTCTTATATGCCCTGGATGTGAAGTTGGTAACAAGTCAGAGACTCATAAGCCACCGCATGTACCATGCAGTGGCTTGGAGTGTTCCGCTAATCCTGTGCCTCTTGGGACTGCTAACCCTGTATCTTCCTGATCTAAAGTAGGTTTTTCTTTCTCCTGTCAAGTGTGTGCGTGTGTGTGTGTGAGAGAGAGAGAATGTGTGGTATATGGGTGCATGTATACATATTTTTTCAGTTATCTCTAATTATAGGGAGCTAAGGTACTGTAAAGCTTTCAAAATGTTCTTGAATGTTGGTGTGATGTAATAGTAAATGCATTACAGTTTTTCTATTTCTTTTTATAAATGATATAGACATCCCTATACTATATAAAGATCTTAAACAATTACATTCTTGGAAGGATTTTCTTGGGCAGTGAATTATGATAAGAAAAATAATTATGCTAATAGAATATTACAGTTTTTATTCATATACAAGTGCCTTAATCCCTGTTTTCTTTCTTTCAGTTGCCACAGTCAAGCCGTGAACCCGTATCTGAGATTTCTGCCGAATTATTTAAGCACATTTATTCCCATTGTCATTGTTATGATTGGCAACCCAATACTTTATTGCATCGCGTTCTTTAATATTGAAACGCAAATAATATCAGCTAGAGGGAAGTAAGTCTTGCTTGTATTTGTATTTTTCCATTCCTTATTTGTATTTCCTCCTCTCAACTTTTTAAAGGAACCATGAAGATTTTATTTCTTCTTCAAAATACCATTAAAAAGTCAAATTTACTTTAGATATTAGAAGACTTTAACCAGGAAAATGCATTTTTTTCTTTTTCAGATTTTTTGAGATAAAATAGTTTATAAATAGAAAAAAAAAGATCATTATTGATATGGAATCACATGAAACAAACAGCACTTTCTCTTGTCAGATATACCCAATCAGAACGGCGGGTTGTTGATGGTCTGCGCAAGAAGTTCTTGCTAATCAATGGAGTTTTTTATCTCTGCTGGTTGCCAAATATCATCAATGGCATCGTCTTGTGGACATCTTGGAATAATCTTCCTAAAGCATTTATTATAACAGTGTGGTATCTTATGGTAAGCTGTTCTTTTTTTCTTGTTCCATCCCTCTTCTTTTTCTCCTTGAAGCTGCTCCTATAAGAGAGCTAATTTGTTACTTTACTTGGAGCAGTTCCTTGTTCAAGTAATAGTATGTTGATCACACCAGTCAGGTGATATCTATTTTACCTCATTGCTTATTCTTTATGCTTTGTTCTTGTTTCCAAGAATGCATCTGTGTCACTTGAGAGCAATACACTTGTGGTGGAATAGGTAAAGTACACATTTTTTATTCCCCCACTTCAATAACATAATAATGCTTTGGTTCATTTTATACCCTGACATGGATCCATGAGTAAGCAAGAGCAACCAGCTGCCCACTTGCTCTTATATATGAGTTTTATGCTGAATAGAGCAGTTTTTCTAACCTCTCACACACTTTAATTTTATGCTTGTTCATGCCCTATTATAAAGATTGTACTTATATGCATCAATTGAAATACATATGGGTACAAGTAATAATATAATATAAAACTAAGATATGATTATGACATATGAAAATATGTACCTTAAGACTATAGAAGTAACATTAACATTAACTTACTACAATACCCATGACATGTATAGTACATTGTGAGCTATGTTTGTTATAGCAGACAATAGAATGTTTTTGAGTTCCTGTAACATTTTTGACTTTCTTTAATGATTGAGTGAAACAAGTTTCAAACTGGGGCTGCTAAATCTTGAAAATTTACATTTACTTTAAAACATTATTTAATTAAACTTTACAATAAGACTTAATTTTTAAATTCCCATCCAGACTGTGTTCCATAGAAACACACAGATGGTAGACTTTTTAAAATTTTGTGTGCTTTATTATGAAGGAGCAGTAAACTCAGCATGGCTGAAAGTCATCAACAAAACCAAGAGATCTCTCCTGATCTGTTTTAAAGGATCTGACTCTAAAGCCTATGAAGTTTTCTTGAGTATTTTATCCAGCTAATAGAACATGTGGATTAGTCACCACAGTTATTTATTTCACAAGCTGTGGAACTTCAGAGTGCCTTCAACAGATTCCAACAGTTGAGCAACTTAGTTTACTTTGAGCAGAAGTCACATATTTTCTGCAGGTTCAAGGAGGACATTGCTCTTTGCATAATTTGTGCTTTTATTTCTCTTAGGATAATATTGATATTTAGATGATCCTTTGCACAGCCAAACAGTCTGCCTCCCCATCATTATTTTTTCACTTTCTTGTTCTTCCTTTTCTGAGAATGTCTATAAGAATTCATCATTTCTCTTTCTTTACAGGCAATCCTAAATCCACTGCAGGCCGTATTCAACTCCATGGTGTATCGCAGCTGGGAGACAGGCAGTGGCATCTCAAAGCCCAGTTGGTTCCCATCAATATGGACTATGCATTCATCACAACAGCTGGAGGTGCCCAGTGTCAATGCTGATGATGCTTATAAGGATAAGGTATGACATTGTATAGCTGTCATGTGTTTATGAGAGTACATGAAAGATATTGTATGTCCTGTGTACAAAGACAATTGTAGTGCTAAGTAGTTGATGAAATTACATAAAAATTATATGATTTATAGATTTATACATTGCAAAATGTGGGTTTGTTTATGAATGCAGATGTGGGTAGGTGTGGAAATAGAGAGAGATTGACAAGTAGATAAACAAACATTTTAGAACTTAACCATTCTCATTATTGCAGGATCCTAAACAATTAGAGACTACAGAAGAATCTTCTCAGCAGTCTGTTTCAGTGGAGTTGTCACATGAACGAACACCATTACTGCACTCTTTGTCAAAAGATGGAGTTAATCAAAGCCAGCATGAGGCCACCAGTAGCCAGACTGCACCTAAATCATATACTTAATACACAAGTTGTTTCTGCTCCAATGTAGTTAAATACATTATGGATTGCACAGAAGCATATATGTGCCAATAACCTAAATGGTATTGAACACATATAGTACATTTGCTTCTCTCTGTTTTTGGCAGTCTCAGGGAAATGCTTTCTAATTACATATGCATCTGGGAAAAGCAGAGTAATACTTTGACTTCACAGACTTCTGAAACTAAACACTTTTATCAAATGTTGAATCAACTTTAAGCAGGCCTAGCAGAATGTACCAGTATGACAAAATGTTCTCTTGTTCTGTGTTCTCAGTTGTCTCTAAGTATTACATCCCAAGTCACAGTGCATATGAAAATTTTCCTTTCCTCTGCAGTATTGTTTTTTCAGATGATAATACTGACAATTTTTTGAAAATCATTTGTTTTCAATTGCTTTAATGATCAACAGTGCTTTACTTCATTTATCTATGGCTTGTATCACTGGATCTATAATGCTTTTCAATGGAGTTTCTCAGAGTCACAAAGCACTCAAGAAAGTTCATATACTATAATATGACAAGCTTATTCTTGCATCTGCTTTCCAGATTTGTTTACCTTTTTTGTCATTTATATTTGTCTTACTAATTCTGTAGTTCCTTGAATATTTATTACATTTATCTTATTGAACAGGATCACCTTTTACATTTTTTAGACACCTTTTATTTACATTTTTTTTCTTTCTTTTTCTTTATGGCATAGTCAATTTATGGTGTTCTGTATCCTTTGGTACTGAAAATAATTGGTAATTTTTATGTTTTAGTACACATTATTCACAAAAATATTTTATGCTACTTGAACGAAGATTGAAGCATATGATCTATTATTAAAATGCCATAAGATCTATTATTAAAATGCAGACAATGTTATAGAGAGTTGCTAATCATACATTCCAACTGTCTCAACATTCCAATTTTCATTCCAGATATATCCTTGAGATTTAAAGATTGTTTGTTTTATGGTTAAATATATAATGCACTTTTTATTATGCTCACTGACCTCCATCCAGATATCAGGTTTACTCGGAGGATGGGAATCTCTTCTTGACAGCTAACTGATAACTATTGCAACAAAAAGGGGTTGCACCTGTTAATACTCACTGCCATATTCATTGCATTATACCGACTAACTTTTGTAGGTAGTTTGTGTACAGGGCTTTTCATGCAGTTGATTGAAATTGCTGGGCAAGATACTCCTTCCATTGGAACAACTTTGAGCAGAGCATAGTGGGTAGAAGTTACCAGCTATTGATACCTTTTTTAGTTGTTTTTTTTGTTCTGTTTTGCTGATCCCTTTGTTTTATAATCATTATTATTATTATTATTATTATTGTTATTATTATTATTATTATTATTATTAAGATGATTATGATGGTAATTTTCATTAGCAGTAGTAGTAGTAGTAGTAGTAACAGTAGTAGTATTGCTGCTACTACTACTACTACTATGACTATTACTTGTGTTTTTGTTCTTACTTTTACTAATATAGTTATTATATGTGTGTATATACATTTTTCCATATAGGTTTTCCATCCCTCCTATATTTACTGCCTTGAATATGTAATATATTTCTTATTACCAATTATTGCAATGGTGAGTTTGTTGCAAAAGCTGTTTGTTCTCATTCACAAACTTGCTTTTTTATTATTTTTGTAATATTACCTATGTAACTACAGTATTATGTAACTGCAAATATTGAGAGTAATCGAAATTGAATGACTGCAAACATATTCCCTTGACAGTATATATACATATTGTAACAAGATTTGTAAGTTGAAAAGGACTCGAATTTTGTTACTTAACAAAAATTATTAGTAAAGGGTTGCAGAATCCTGTGCATGTCTGAATGTCTTTTCAAGGGCACCCTTTATAATAATTTAATCTTTTCCATTCTTTCTTTGTTAATATTCCTTGTGTACCATTGAAATATATTTAAGAGTGTAATGAATACTTCTCTTTTTTTCTTGTTCTTCCTCTTTTTTGGCATAAAGAAATACATATATATTTAGCTGGATTGCATCTAAGGAACTGCCATCAGCATAAAGATATTGATATTTTTATAAGGTAATTACTGCATGTAATTATATTTACAGAATTTACACCATCTGATTATAGTTGCATTAGATTAACAAGATATTGCATAAGAGTTACTGGAAAGAATTTGTCACATGTAAATAATATTTTAATTGATAATATCTTTACAATCTTGCTATTTACAAGTGCTTAAGGTTATACTTTTTTTTCAAACAGCAGATAAACTGAGAAATCATAAAAAGGTAATTATTTTGCTTTCTGTGGACAAGTTGTTGAAACCTAGAAATCTTAATTATCATATTAGGATTATATAGTCAATAAACGTTACATTGGTACAATATACCTCTGTTATCTTTACTCCTTAATTTTCACTGTTTTGATCCCAGGAATGGAGGGTATGAAATGGTAAAAAAAATGTGAAACTGATAGTGCTTAAAGTTATTTCATACAAATGAAATGCCCCTTGAATAACATGCTCTACCACACTACACACTAAAGAAATTCCTCTGTAAAATAAGACAATAGTTAAATAATATACCTACATTTCATCTTCAACTAGTGTATAGTGAAAGTCCATGTAAGCTTTATCATAGTGTATAAGTACAATAACACACTAGGTTGAGTCTTATAAATTAATTTAAACATGCTACATGAAAGCCCTTTTTCCCATGTGGGAAGTTGCAAAAACATTTTTTCAGAACCCTTGCTCTGAAGAATGAAAGCATATTAATGACATTCTGATACATTTTGTTTCAATTTGTTACAGTGGTTAAATAACTGATTCATCTTGCAACATTCAGGGCTCATGTTTAAATTTCTTTTGGTCAATTGCAATACATTTTGCTCTCATTCAATGTAGCAGACTCCTAGATATTGAATGCAAAAAGATCATCAGTATCCTTAAGTTGATCCAAAGGTTCATTGTTGTTAGCTTCTGTCACCATTTCAATGGAAGATCATGTCAAAGATCATGTCTTTATCCTGATCTGTTCCATATTTTTATTATGTTCTCTATATGTTTTTCCACATGTTCAAATAAACTACATATTACTTAGATGTCCTGCATTTTTTCAAATGTTCTTCTCCATGTTTCCATATGTCCTTATGTTGTTTACATATTATTTATGTTCTTCATATGGCCTTATTCCTGTACATGCCTGACTTACTACCAATGAAGAAGTGTCAGAAAAAAACGTAGCAGTCAGGACTCATCACATAGTGAGAAAAGTGAAAGAGAGGAAAAATGCAGAACAGGACTAGACGATTCTATACCAGGCATTAGTTGTATCTGCAAGGATAGCCTCTAAACAGAAATGGATGAATGAGGTAATAGTGAAGATGATGGAGGAGAGGAGAAGGAATTGAGAAAATATGTTGAATGGAAACAAAGCAAGAGATCAAGGGCTAAAGGGAAGTCCTGAGTGATAAAGTCAGAAACTGACACTGCTAGGAGAGCTTTGGGAAAAATAAGGAATATTTTTGGAGCTCAAACGAAGCTGAAAAGTTAAGCAACACAAGCAAAATGTGAAGAAATTGTTATTGAAATAGTAAGGGTACTGATCAGATAAATATTATTTAAGTTTGTTTGTTGTTGTTTTTTTGTCTCACTGCCTTTCTGATTATTTTTTTATATCTTTCGTTAATTTGGTCAATCAGATCTAATTACTTTGGTTTGCATTATGACAAATTCTTTCCTTTGTGAGATTTGCAATGTTTGGAGTATTCATCAGGTGGAAGAAAAGTAATATATATAGTCCCAAAGTGGATTGTGGTGTTAGATTTTGTGGTATTTGTTTAACATATTTTATCATATATTCTAAATTTATTAAGCCACAAATTAAAACTCACGTGATCAACTTGTAACATTAAATGAAAAAACTTACATTATCACTCATTGATAGTTAATTACTCTATTCTCTTTTATTATTGCCTGTTTTTATATGATTTTTAACCTGTGACCTGAAAAGTCAGTTGATTCAGAGATATTTTCATTTTTAAAAAATGTGCTTGAAGAGAGTAATTTCTACTGTTTGTTTGTTTTTCTTGTTTCTCTAAAAGTGTTCTTTGTTTTATACACATTTTTTTTTCTTTCTTTTTTTGTCTTTAAGAAAAATAAAAAAAATAAAAATCATAAGTTTAAAAAAATAAAAAGTTATAATGACTGAAAGTTTCTCAAGAAGAGAAACATACATATGCACAGATAGAGAGAGATTGATAATGATAATACTAATGACATCGAATTAATGATGATTATATTTATACCACTAGGCTTTATCTGCACCACCTACTGCTTTACAATTATTGCAACTCGCGCGCATGAAAACGCATCGAGGCAGTGCCTTCCCGCTTGGACCAAACCAACCGTCTCACACACACAGCGTCTTGTTATTTGCATGTACAAGAAATAATATATCAATTATGGTAATTAAGCTTTGATTGGCTTGCACCTAATACCAGAATACATGCTCGAAGCACGTGTTATAACTTAATAATTCTAAAAACAACTAGTTTACTGTTTTTCCGTAGTCACTTGATTGACTTCCACATTCCTGCCATACCATATCATTATTTGTTAAAGTTACATTATTCACATGGTGGTGATGTTGACCATTATAAATAGTAAATGATATTACTACAATGATGGCAATGATAATAGCAATGGCAGTGACGATTATGGTAAAAAAAAAAAAAAAAAAAAAAAAAAAAAAAAAAAAAAAAAAAAAAACATTCATATAGTTCCGTTCATTAGGTACGCCGTCTGTCCCTGCTACATTTCATTAGGAATTTCTTGATACCTGCTAACCTAACCTAACCTAACCTAACCAAACTTGACCTAACCTAACCTGACCTGACTTAACCTAACCAAACTTGACCTAACCTATCCTGACCTGACCTAACCTAACCTAACTTAACCAAACCAAACTAATAAATTAAATATGCCGTCTGTCCCTATATATTTCATTAGGAATTTCTTGATACCTGCTAACCTAACCAAACCTAACCTAACCTAACCTAATAACCTAATAATCTTGATACCTGCTAACCTAACTAAACCTAACCTAAACTAACCTAACCTAACCTAACCATACCTGACCTGACATAACCTAACCTAAACAAACTTGACCTAACCTAAACTAACCTAACCTAACCAAACCATTAAATTAAATACGCCGTCTGTCCCTGCTATATTTCGTTAGGAATTTATTTATACCTGCTAACCTAACCTAACCTAAGCCTAAACCTGCTAACCTAACCTAACCTAAGCCTAAACCTGCTAACCTAACCAAACCTAACCTAACCAAACCTGACCTAACCTAACCAAACCATTACATTAAATACACCGTCTGTCCCTGCTATATTTCGTTAGGAATTTTATATTTATACCTGCTAATCTAACCTAACCTAAATCTAAACCTGATAACCTAACCAAACCTGACCTGACCCAACCTAACCAAACCTGACCTAACCTAACCTAACCAAACCATTAAATTAAATACTCTGTCTGTCCCTGCTATATTTCATTAGGAATTTCTTTATACCTGCTAACCTAACCTAACCTAACCTAACTTGACCTAACCCAACCAAACTTGACCTAACCTAACCTAACCAAACCTGACCTGACCGGACCTAACCTAACCCAACCTAACCTAGCCTAGCCTAACCTAACCTGTCCCTATATACTTCGTTAGGAATTTATTGATCCTGCTAACCTAACCAAACCTGACCTGACCTAACCTAACCAAACCAACCAATAAAATTAAATACATAAATCTTTAATATATTTTTTAAGGAAATCAAAATAGTAATATTTTGGTATTTGTGGAGCTTAATTCAGAGGATCACTCGCTGCCTATCAAAATTTACACAAATTCCAATGCATTGCTCTGATTGTGACAGAATTTATTTGTGTTATTTCATCTACCTTTTGATAAATCTCAAAAACACATGTAGTATATTTATCATTATTGCAAATTCTTGTTTCTTGTCTAAAAAATAATAATTATAAATAGTCTTTTACGAGTTTAATGATGAATATAAGTCACGATTATTTCTCACTCATTTATCAGTACTTCCCATGTCAAATGGTATTGCTTTATTGACTCTTTTGGGACTAAAAATAAACATTATAACTTCATGTAAAACCATATCATTTTCATATGCGATTCATTATGAAATATCTATTAAATACTCCTTAAATAGCCAAATGAAGAGTTATAAAATAAATTCGGACAGGTTGGCACGCCTGTG